CACGGCTGTTGAAAAAGACGGTAAATCATCTCTAAGAAAAGAAAGAAAAGCGCTTGCTAGAGATGCTTCAATTTGGAAGGACAGATATTCTTTGTGACACAATGTGTCTATGATTTATTTCTATTTTTTATTAATCTACTTTGAATAAGAGGGGCAGATCTAAAAGAGCAGACAGCACTGATTGTAAATGAAGGCTATATTTGCATTCAGTGTTGCTTATCAAGTTCTATTTTGTGCCTTCTTGAAGTCTCATACACACACTGAATACATTTAGTTATTTTAAATCAGTATTTGAGATGTGCCTTTTTTATAGTATGTTCATGTCTGCTAGTTTATATTCGTGCTATTAAATCAGTACAGTGCACTTGTCATATCTGCGTAAACAGCTCACTGATTATTTACTGTTTGATATTACTTTACAGTAAATGTGTTTTCAATTTGACACAATAACTGATTTCCTCCCCCAGATGGAGGCCTAAACCACGAGCCTGAGAGTTCCCCCTCCCTGACAGAGTTTGGAGGCGTGTCAGAGCAAAGCTCATTAGTAGTCCAGACGCACTCTCACCCACGGGCTTCAAGCCCCCCGCCCATCCTCCATGACTTACAGCAGTCAGACAACACTTCCTATGTCCTGCTGAACCTTGCAAAAGGTAAACGAACATTAAAGGGACGTCGTTTGTCTCTGCCAAAGTCTGAATTATGTTTTTGCCACACTTGGCATCCATGTTCTTTAGTTCAAATGCTTGAATTTATTTTTGTGACTCACGATTTCTTCCTTTGCAGGCCAGCAAAGTAACGTTAATCCTTTGGTTCTACACTCACTGGCCACTTTGTTAGGAACACCTGTTCTACTGCTTGTTAACACAAATATTTAATCATCCAATCACATGGCAGTACCTCAGTGCATTTGGGCATGTGGACATGATCAAGACGACCTGCTGGTGTTCAAACAGAGCAACAGAATGGAGAAGAAAGGATAAGCGACTTTGAATGTGGCATGGTTGTTAGTGCCAGCCAGGCTGATCTCAGTATTTCAGAACCTGCTGATTTGCTGGGATTTTTCCCCACAAAACCTTCTCTAGTGTTTATTGAGATCGACAGACCACGTGACTTCCGCGCGTTGCATTGTAGGTACGAGTGGCAGCAAAATCAAAACACTGCATCAAGCGCTAGCATTTCCAGCACCGGTAACCATTAATTCTGCATTAACAAAGACGGACTTGACGAAAAGGCAAAAAAAAAAAAGCACAAGCAAAAAATCAAAGGAGTGAAAGCGTCAGACCCATACAACCATACAGAGTGGACTAAAGACGTTAGCGTGCTGCCCAACTTTCATCATGCACATATTTATAATTATATGGTCCTAAGTGTGAGTGCAACACTCACAAAATGTTTAGTAACTTCAGATCCCTGCAACAAGCCCAGGTCCAGTTTACTTTTACTGTTGTAATTTAGTTTTTTCTTTATCTCCTGTACAGGCCAACGCAATCTATTTGTCATTTCACAACATTTTCAGATCCAATAGATATAAAACAAGTGTTTCTTAATTCATTCAATTGATTGTCTTTATTTATAACTGGCATTATTGTTTCATTCTATTATAGAGTCTTATAAGAAAGAGGCAAAATTGTATTCCATCGTGCTTTATTAGCTGCTTCAGTGAAAAACAAATCAACAATGCAAAAAAAATAATAAAAAATAACCAGATCAAAACAACATACTGGAAAACAGTTATTCATCACTTGATTCCTTCAATACAACACTTGGACACATATATGCAGACTTTTCGTGGCTGTTTTGATCTCGCTCTCTCTCTCTTAACCGATCAAATCTCGCTGTGGTAGCAGCTTTAAACTCGGTCTGACCCAGGTTGATAGAGGGGGCCCAGTCTGGATCACATTCCAGCATTTTGTAGGCTGGTTTTCCTACAAAGCACAACAAACATTAGCCCGCAAAGCCACAGTGAACAAAGCAGCATAGCACAACGAATTAAATTCAAATCAATATAGACTTATTTGTTATCTACATCAACAATTATGTTACGATAAATTACGTAATAACTGCAACAGAAGACTTGCCTTTGTGGAAATGCTTGGAGCAGACTAACATGTGAGCTGGAGTGTTCTGAAACGTCATATTTGGTCTTCGAATGGCTGCAATCCAGGCCATCCGTTGGCTCTTTGTTACTTCGGAAACATGGCTTGAACAATTTTTCTTCCACTACAGAATCCGATAAAAAACGATCTCTTTACCCGTCGGCTTCCCGTGGCTGTCATGTGACCGGCTATTGCAGTTAATAATACAACAGCTTCTTGCCATTCTTTGTGTTTCTTTTTATTGCTGTGTGACTGTTTTCTTGTGAAAGCCTGCGTGCGCTAGTACCGCTTGCCACTCGTACCTACAATCCTTTGCGGTTTTGACGTAACATTTTCGATCTCTATAGAGAATGGTCTGAAAATATCCAGCAAGCAGGAATTCTCTGGGTGAAAATGCCTTGTTGATGTCAAAGGTCAGAGAAGAATGTCCAGACTGCTTCAAGCAGATAGGAAGGTATCAATAGCTTAAATAACCACTCGCTGCAGCCAAGAGCAGAAGAGCATCTCTGAAAGCAAAACCTGTTGAACCTTGAATCAGATGGGCTACAGCAGCAGAAGACCGCACTAGGTATCACGCTTGTCAGCTAAGAACAGGAAAACAAGTTTGCAGTTCACACAGCCTCACCAAAATTGGACAATAGAAGATTAGAAAAGTGTTGCTTGGTCATATGAGTCTTGATTTCTGCAGCGACATTCAAATGGTAGGGTGAGAATTTGGAGAAAATAAGATGAAAGCATGTGTCCATCCTGCCTTGTAACAGTGGTTCAGGCTAGTAGTGCTGGTGTAATGGAGTGGGGGATATTTTCTTGGCGCACTTTTAGCCCCTTAGTACTATTTAAGTATCATTTAAGCTCCACAGCCCGCCTGAGCATTGTTGCTAATCATGTCCATCCCTTTATGACCACAGTGTAGCCATCATCTGATTCCAGGAGGATAACGCACCGTGTCACAAAGCTCAGATCATCTCAAACAGCTTTCTTGAACCTGACGATGAGTTCACTGTACTCGAATGACCTCCACAGTCACCATCTCTCAAACCAGCAGAGCATCGCTGGGATGTGGTCGAACAGGAGAATTGTAATCTGCAGAAGCTGTGCGATGCTGTCATGTCAATATGGACCAAAATCTCTGAGGAACGTTTCCAACGATTTAATGAATCTGTGCCATGAAGAATTAAGACAGATCTGAATCAAAAAGTTGGTCCAACAAGGTGTACCTAATAAAGTGTCCAATCAGTGTGTATCTTCTAACATTTGCTTTCTATATAAAAAAAGAAATATTACTGTTGACAAGCAAAGTTTCATATAAAAAGTCTAAATCCCGTCTTGTGTCTGCACTTTCTGTCTTCCAAATTCCCCACACAGCGCCAAAAAGAAATGGGGTGACACATTTCCATTCAAAAAAGAAAAAATATTTTGGCTTGAAGAAATGAGCCTTGGCAAGCACATTCTCTTGGTTCATCAGGCCTTGGCAAGAGAGTCAAAAAATTAATTTTGGTCTCCTCACATACACCTTTTGTGCAGCGCGCTGTGTTCTGTCTGTGATTCAGTGAGACGTGATGGAGAGACGTTTCACTGGACAGAATTACTTGTTTATCAAATGTACTCAGTCCCTGAAGAAAGGATTGTCATGTTTTCTTATATTTCTATTTGGGTGTCTGTTGAAAACTTCCTCCCGCTTGCTTAGAATAGAGCAGCATTGGAAGAACAATAATAAATAAATAGAAGTGACCTAGAGCGTCTCAGAGATATACTGCAGCTGTCTTCTATTTCAGTTACTCTCATCCTGACCTTTTTCTTTTTTTCCCCCCCCTGTCAGGCATTACAGCCTCCTCAGAGTCCCTGATCTTCGCCGCAGATGGCGCCGGGGATGATGAAGATGAGGGGGTCCCATCGGGGGACTACGGAATAGATGGCAGCGCTCCCTGGTATCTGCGGGTACAAGAGCTGGCACATGACAGCTTGATCGCCGCCACACGGGCTCAGCTAGCGAAGGATGCCAAGGCCAGCCAGGACGCCAGAGCTGCAAGTGTCACGAACGGTAAAGAATTCTTCCAGGGATCTTTTACACCTTAAAGTTATGTCAAATATGCTCTTTTTGAAACAATATTAAAAAAACACTCATTGGATGTGAGCGCTGCTACTGGTGTGTGCTCTGTAGGCAGCTATTTGGGATTTAATATCAAGTTTAAGAATAAAACTGGGGGGAAAAAACCAAGACGTAACGGCTGTGTAGAGGAAGCGGCGTATATTTTGGTAGCAGGCATCAAAGACAGAAGAGAAATGAGGTCAGTGAAGAGATGAAAACGTGGTGTAATCAGCTCTGACTATAACTGGGTCCCAAAATTCTCGTCTCGAGTCTCCCAATCAAAAGGAATTTGTAGCTTTGTCTTTGACTGATGTACAAGTGCGACGGCAGATATTTAGTAGAGCTGTAAATGTCACAATATAACGAAGCAGTGATCAGAATCCAGCTCCCGTGGTTATTTTATGTCGCTGATGATTTAGTAAAAATGTGGGGTGGCAGGAGGTCAGGCCTGGGGACACACATGCGATCAAGCCATTAGGAAGATGTTATATTGCAGAAAATAAAAATAGCTGATGGTTCTGAAATATTGTGTTTGCTTTATTGCCAAGAGTTATATAAGTAAATCAATATCACTCATGTCTGCACAGTAAATATAAGCGAAGAACAGGAGCCACTTAGATGTGCACAAAGAGAAGAAGTGGGAGGGACAGAGGCTCGATGCTTCACAGATTATATCTTATTTGTTGAACTTGGTTCAGAAACCAAAGTGTAAATCTGCCAGCAAGTGCGGTTATAGCCAGGAAATTGTTTAATAGCTGTTAACCAAAACCTGTTACTGTATATTCATCAACTCCTTTTCAATACAGCATTCGTTAAGCTGTCATAAAAAAAGGCTGTGGTGGCCTTTGAGTCTCAGCGGTCACAGAATCCAGTGTGACAACAGCTGCTGGCTGTAGCCTCATGTTTCCTCTCTTCTTTTCAACTTTCTACCATCTGTTTGAAAGTAATGCCGACGCTACACTTAGAAAAATCTCTAAATGGCTATTAAACGCTCGTCCGGGTCTCGCAAGCTCAAACTGCTTTGATCGTCGACTTGTTTACCGTCCTCTCCCGCATTGCGTCTCGACCTGTTGCTTATTTAGCGGCGTCTGTCCACACGTTTATCTTATCTTACTGTAAAGCCTCTGCTCTGATCTGAAACAGACGCTCCACAGTGCTGCTGACCCGCACCAGGAGTCAGGACTACATCGCAAACCATTTTAAGTTGCCTCCACAGGCTGCCTGTTAGATAAAGCATTTACCCATGACATTTAAGGCTCCATGACTCCTAGCTACATCTCTGATCTTTGAACCCCCCACTTCTGAGTCGAATTGCAGCTGGAGGTCCATGTTGAAAAGTGATATGGGAGTGTAAGAAGTTTACTTCATATCTCTGCCCAGCCCCGGGTTTGTTTCCTCCCATCTTGACCTGACTGGGATTTATTTGACATGTTTGTGATGATGTGCACAAACAAATCAAGTGGTAACTAGAAGGCATTATTGTTTGTGCTGTGTTTTTTTGTGTGTTGAAAATAGATTTTCAGGTAAAAAGGAAAAGCTGTCAAGTGTCTTAAAATCTGCACTTTGTCTCTTAAAAGTGGTTATGTTACTCCGTGCATTCTTCTTTACTTACAGGTTTTCACATAGTCCAGTTTAGGTTCAGATACACTCTTTTAATACAGCTGACATTTTTCAGCAGTTATCTTTGACTTTGTTGTATTTGTATCAAGATCAAGCGAGAGCAGCTAGTAATTCAGCCGTGTGAAACAAGCCCTTCAAGGCCACCCTCCCCTTCTTTGGATTGACAGATCCTCAGCAAGATTAATTGCTTTAGCACCTTCATCACCTAATGCCAGGGTCTTTAAGCTGCTAATTGATCAGTACAGGAAGCAGGCAGCGTGTTGCACAGCACTGGTTTCTTCTTCTGCTTCAGATTCTGGCTGTAAATGTGACTCAGGATCAGGGACAGCTGGCTAGCGCATGTCCTCGGATCTTTGAGGCTGATAGCAACAGGAGTTTCTCCAGCTGTCTCCTGGGCAGAAGTCAAAGTCAAGCGGGGGGTTTATCAGACATATGGGGGTAGTTTGATCCACAGTACTCACTTGGGAGGGGAGAAGTGCAAAATCACTGAGTGTAGTGGAGGTTTGTGATGCAGGAAGGCAGCACAGGGGCTCTGAATCTACTGCATCTAAATCTAACTTCCATCAGATTAGATTAGTTTCTTTCAGCAGCAGGATATCAGTTACAGGTGCTTTACAGCAGACACCAGCACAAACTAAACTGTAGCAGATAAGCGTGGAGTGTGGTCGGGTTAAATGGGACTGATTTCATTCATCTCTGAGTTTTGTTTTGGTTGCAAGTCTCAGTCAGTAACCAGTGATTAGCTTTTATAGAGGTATGCTCCAGAGGCCGGGGACACTCTCGCTGCTGGATTGTTTACTGCATCACCTCGCTCACTTTCCTCTTCCGGTTGCCTAGGTGACCACACACACAGTCTGATAGCAGACGGAGACAAACGAGACCTTTCTGCCAGAACGAGCCGCCCCCTCTCCAAGCAGATGCGCTGCTCGTTTGAGGGCTGCTGCAAGACGTTCACCTGGCCCGCTCATTTCAAATATCACCTCAAAACACACAGGTAACGCATCGCACAGACAGCACGGGGGGATTGTGCCTTGTCCAGCAGTGGTTCAAGCATAGGGGATGTTGCTCAAGTGTGCAAATTCTGATAATGTGGACGCATTTTTCAAATTAGAAAATAATACAGCGTTGTTGATGTACACATTTCATTACACACAGGAACGCGTGCACCAACTGTGAAATGTGTTAATAGAAAATTACATGCCTGTAATGTCTGTAAAGTATAGATACAAGTCAGACAAAAAGATTCAAGCAGCTAATGTAGACACCACAAAGTCATACTCTGTAAGCTAGAGCCCAATATGCAACAAAAGTGCAGAAAAGAACAAATTTGTGTGTATCATGGTATCTTGGTTATTTGTTGAGCTGTGTAATGCCAGAAATTAGTGTCATTTTTAAGTTGTAATGGTGAGCAATCAAGTCCTCCTGAATGTCTTTGGTTCCTGCAACTTTAATCTTCATGTTCTAGTATAAGATTTGGTGTAAGATGTGTAACAGGCTGCTCTCCAGACACGTTCTGCCCTCCTGAAGTACCCTCAAGGGCAGGGTGAGCTCGATCTTCAAGCTATTCTGTGTGATGTTTTTCAAGTACAAAAGGCACTAGGTTTGTTCAGCAGTTGTAAAATGTAAGCTGGAGGTGTTGGCTTTAAACTGCACAGGTGTTTTACAGCCACAATGAAAGGAGTAATGGCAGCTCAGGAAAAGGTTCCTGCTTTATTTGTTGGGGAGGCAGAAAGACTGTGCAGGGAGCAGAAAGCACTGCTGTGCAACAGGAGTTTCTCCAGCTGTATGGCAGGAGCTCTGTTAATACCAGCGTAGCAGATCTGTTTGAGGCTACCCCGTCTGACCTTGTGGCGGGCTTTAACCAACGAAGCATGTGCACGAGAGACGTCGAGGTTTGTTTGTCATCTTATCTCGGCTCGCAGGAATGACCGGATGTTCAGGTGCGGCGCAGAAGGCTGCGGGAAGAGTTTCTACGTGCTGCAGAGGCTGCAGGTTCACATGAGGACTCACAATGGCGAGAAGCCCTTCATTTGCAAGGAGACGAACTGTGGCAAGAGGTTCACCACTGCTGGAAACTTGAAGAACCACAGACGCACACACACAGGTGGGGAAAGCAGGACGGACCCCTGCATTTAAAAGCCCAAATGTCCTGGAAGCAATAACTAACTAAGGCCATTTGACTCTGCTCATTTAATGCTTCCTTGGCAGAGTTAATGCTGGAGATTTGAAGAGTCAGCAGCACTGGCCCCTCCATTTTACTGCTGCAATCAGTAACACTACTCTGTCATATTTTATTTAGGGTGGCATTAAGGTTTCTGATGGCGTGCTCCGCAGTCAGTTAGGTGACCTGTGCTTAGTTTCCGCCTGTATATCTGGAAGAATGAGCCGTAGCTGACTTATCTGGGTTATTTTGGTCATCGCGGCTTTCAGAAACGACAACAACAAAGCTGCAGTTTATTGTAATTTCCAGTGCGTCGGGGCCATTCAACGCATCCCTTTGAACGCATCCGCATCTGATACTTTCTGCAAAAATAAGAGTTTAATTGGGGCTTTGTAATGCGGAGGTAAACAATATGTATATTTGTGGTGGGTGGCTGCTTTCAGGAGAGAAGCCTTTTCTGTGTGAAGCAGATGGCTGTGGGCGATCCTTTGCAGAGTATTCCAGTCTACGAAAACACATGCTCGTGCATTCTGGTGAGTGGGACAAGTTCACAGCTGCGCAGCAGTGCGCTCCTTTGTAATTAGTGCGCTACAGATAAAGTGTAAAGTAGTGCGCCTTGTAGACGGCGTCCTGCAGCAGTTCAGAAGAAGAATAAAGTTTTGCTTGGTGTCTGTGTGCGTACTTCCCAGGTGAGAAGCCTCATGTGTGTGGGATCTGTGGGAAGACTTTTTCTCAGTCGGGCAGCAGAAACGTCCACATGAGGAAGAGACACGGAGAGGAGGGACTCAGTAGTGAAAGCAGAGAAACAGGTCTTTCTCCCTTTGTCTGTCTTACTCACTCACTCACACACACACACACACACACACGCACACACAAACACCCACCCAGTGTGGTGGGTGGATATGCTAATCCTTGGATTATGTAGCTTCAAGCTGCCCATACATTTTAAAGTCTGCATAGAGATGGTGTTGCTTTAATTTACATTTAGGAACATTTCTTGAATTGTTAATGACTTCTAGCACTTAAAAATGTATCATTCACATTTTTATTCTTCAGGCCCAGTAGCTGAATTGTTTTAGAATGCACATAGCTTCAAAAAAAGAAAAAGCAGAGAGCAAAACGCTGCTGCAGGGGGAAAAAAACGAAGCCTGTTGGGCTTTTTGTGATGGGGTCAGATCCTCTAAGAAGTCTTTAATCACCAAGTTAAAATAACATCATCTTGCTTTATTGAAATGCATTCACCTGCTGAGATAATTGAGTGAATATATACGGTTAATCTTCCAATACAGCTGAGGCAAATTTACACAGTCACTCCTGTCTCTATTTTCAGTACCTTTCAGATTAAAAGGATCGTTCATTGAGCTTTTCACATTCCAGCATCTGGAACAATTGAACAAAATAAGCTTAAATTCATTTTTAGCATGAAACAATGACAGCAGACAGCACATTTGCCTCCTTGTCACATCTCTGTAGCAGCAGGGAAGCACAGCAGCTGAATCACCGCAGAGGAAACGCTGCCAAAGCTCTAATTATAAACAGCAGATTTATTCGGGTCAGCCTCCCCAAAGAGGCCAGTCTTTTGTAAAAGCAGTGCAAAGGAAGATGCAGTTGCACAACAGCCTGGTAGTTTCTGTTATTTATACATGACAAGAGCTACTGGATTAATTATTAAATTGAGTGTGAATAACTAGAATAAGCAAACAAAAATCAACATTTATACAGAATGCATTCTAGAAATCTAGATTCCAGTTTTTATCAATTATTTTTTAACTTCAGAGCATCATTTTCTAACCAGCACTGGCCTGTGGTGATCACACCGAGGCTGCAGGTTGAGTCCTGGTTTCTATAAAGATGACGGATTACTCTAAATGTGCTCTCTCTTGTGTTGAGGTTTGGGAAAAACAAAAAGTTTGATGTCTGTGTGCAACTGACAGGAGAGGCTCTGACACAAAGCAGCCTGCTGGAGGCAGACGGTGAGAATGGAGACAATATGGTCACCATGACAACAACTGTGGAACCCATGAATCTCCACCATGCCATGCTGAGATCACCAGGTAGGCGTTTGAACAAGTATGACAGGAAAAAAAGGCAGTTCATAAAGAGTGGATTTAAAAAACACCTAACACATCTGACAATGCTGTAGCCCTGCAGTAAACTCATTTGGTGAAGCTCATAATGTTCTGTTAATGTCAGGGATGCTGAGTCAACTTGTGGTGTCACTAATGTCCCATTAAGTGTTTTTCAGGGAATGAGTCTTTTGATAACGGCGGCTACACTCAGGCTGTGTAGACTTGTGTTTGCTCGAGTTTTCATGTCTCTGAAATTTCACATTTAGGCTGTTTCCAGCAGTTCAGCTGGCACTCTTTGCATTGTACCTGTTAAATAAAATTAAAAACGAATTTGTAAATAACATTGATAACCTCATGCTGGTAATAATAAATTCACTAGTGTAGCACCGCTGCTTGCATATTATTTTTGTTTTGAGTGTTCGCCCACCTCTCAAGGTTTTGTTTTTTTAACCAATCAGCCATAAAATGCTGATGCGGTATTGTCATCACCCCGCAGCACAGGTGGGCGATGTGGACACGATTACTCAAGAACAAGGCGACATGGGATTCTAAAATTCATCCCATAGGTGCATCTACCACAACTCTTGGACGAGTATGAAGTTTAATGACCTTGACCTCAAGATCAAGGTCAGAGGTTAAGCTTTCAGAAAATCATCTGAGCGCGATAACTCAAGCAGTTATTGCACTGGTGGCTGCCAGTATTTTTTTTTTTTTACTTGGTAAACAAGAAAAGACTGCGATTCAAGCGCCTGTGTAAATGGTTATGGGACTGTGTTGATGACATAGTTCACATAAGCAATGACCAAAGTGTCAGTGCCAACCATAGCTTTCAACTGTTTATCCAAAATATAAGAGCTTGTTCCATCCTTCTGTGGAAGGAGCTTGAATTTATGAGACAGACTCACTGCTTTAAAGATCAAACTTAACACTATTTTTGATAAACCTTATAGTTACGTCTGGATCAGATGACCTTTGCAATAGGTCGAGGCTCCTGGGGGCTTCACATAATGCACTGTTTCTTTTTCACTCTGTTTATACACATCCTACATTTAATCATTAGTTCTTATTCATCTCTGGATCTCTTTATTTGTCCGGTCTCTCTCCCCTGATCCCCAGCCAGTCACAACAGATGACTCCCCCCTCCCTTAGTCTGGTTCTACTTGTGGGGTTGTTTTTTTTTTTTTTTACTCTCTTTACTAAAAGAGAGTTTTTCATTCTCGCGGTCTGATTTTTGGGTTTTTCTATTACTGAAGGCTCTTTATCTTACTATATAACGTGCCTTGAGGTGACTGTTGTTGTGATTTGGTGCGATATAAATAAAATTAAAATTATTTGAACACTGAAGAGCCAGGTGATGTAGTTCAGACGTGTGACTGGGAAGCCTGGAAACATCCCAGCTGCATACAACTTGTATGTATTGCAGAAATTCCAGAACGGCTTCATCAGCACAAAGGCTGAAAGTGCTTGGTTTGATTTTACAATGTCTGCACCTTCATGTTATTTTAAATACATACAGGGTGAATAACATCCTCTTTGAACTTTCCTTTGTGTTTGTGTAGGCTCTGCAGACTCTGTGGTAGTTCTCTCTCAACCGCATGAACTGGTGACCATGACAACGGAGGGCCATGCATATGGAGAAGATGTAGTTGCTCTGCTGTAGTCCACCTTCACAACAAACATCGCACACTGCGTGTTGCAGCAGCACTGGGCTGACTGCCACAGTGGACTACATATAGATATGTATCTGTAAAAAGACGACTTTCAGACCTGTAGACCCTTGTAGATATTTGTAATTAGCAACCAGTGATGGTTTTATTTTAATAAGCGTGAAATGGCAAAGTTTGTACAAACATTTTTCTTTTCCTCGTGTTTTTGAGAACAAAGACTCCCAAAGAAATACTGAGACGGGTTTTGCTAGTTTATGAAACTATAATGACCAGGAATGCTTATGTGCTTCATCATTGTAGACACTGAAATGCAGTGATGGTTGTTAATGAAAAACAAGTACCCCAAAACCTCAACGGCTGATAAGTTAAATTTAAATGTACCAGACACCCATTATAGCCATTATTCTTTTGACTAATAACGAAACACTTAACATTAAAAACCACTCAAGCACAGTTAATCAAATGCTGCATGTAAATGCTGGTATTACATGACTTAACAAGCCAGGCCTCTCTGTTTATCAGCCTTAGTAAAATAGAAAACATCTATCTCGAATAAATTCTATATCCACTAATCCCCAGAGGTGCATTAACAGAGTGTGTTATTGGTAAAATGTTTCATTCAGCCTCTTGTGCTTCACTTGTTCTCCGAGTGGGGCAATGCATTGCTCATATATAGCTCAATATATTAACACTTGAGAATAATTGCTTTTTAAAAGAAATTAAGAATTACTCATGAGGTTAGTTCTGCCCTTATAAAACCAACACCAGCTGTCTGCTGCTCTTAGATAAGGTAGTGCACATTACTTGAGTGTGGTTAGTGAGCGCCACCTAAAATCAGCTTCTCGTTGTCAGTGTACGCTCCTCACTTCTCAGTGAATCTTCAGGTAGTGGAAGTGATCCAATGTAGCACCCAGTGCCCAGCTAGCCTCCACGTTATTCACTTTCTTGGTTAGCTAAGGATGAAAAAAAAAAAAAAAAAAAAACACCAAATCACTCAAAGGATTTTTGTATTTACTGAAATAAAAAAGGTAATGGAATTTTTTGTGTAAGTGCCTCTTTTCCTTTGTTTTATTAAAAGAGAATTGACACAGACAAGTTTCTACTCAAAGTACTCCCAACTTTTTACAATTTTTTTTTTTCCAAGGAGTCCACAGATCCCTTCAAATCATCGGTTGCTTGTGTTTCCTCTGCAGTCTAAAGGCCCTCAGAGACTGGGAAGGTTATCCCGCTGACAGATATAAAAGCAACCACTGTTTTTACAACCTGCAGGTTACACTGGCTTCCTCTGTGTGTCAGAGCTGAAGGTCTTTTATCTCATTTCCACTGATGCAATACTAGTGCAGAGACACTTTTCTTTTGGTGTTACATCTGATAGCATTATATAGTGAAAGTTGGGTAAATAAGAAAATGATCAAAGCAGACAGAATCTCATTGGTCAGTTTCTTACAGCAGCCCAATCATTTTTGATGCCATTTCTGGACCCAGTAGTTTTCTTGAAAAGGTCTGGCCTATAGCTGATGCCCCAAGCAAGATTAAGCCTGCAGTTTTTACCTCTCAGCCGAAAAAGGCAGATTGAATATTGTCATCACTCTGCTGACGGGTACCACTGGCTGCAACCAGTGTTTCTTATATCCGCACTAAATCTGTCTGTGCTTCATTCTTCCTGCATGGCTGTGTGGAGGTGTTGGGTGTTAATATATGCTTTAGAATGTAAGTGCCATGAAACTATCAGAAATTAACATTATTGGCCCAGTTCCCTACTGTGGAAATGCACAGAGCCCCTCCAAAGGTTCCCAGTCCCTGGGGAGGGTTTCTGAAATGCAACTCACCCTGCAATTTCTGGTAGCACACTTATCTGCTGTTTTCAGTGTACATAGTGAATTTTCAAACATAAAAAGGTAGGATGAGATATTACCATCTCTTCTTTGACTAATGTGTCAGGGCCTCTTTGAAGAAGGCCTGTGAAAATGCTATGAAGTGTGAGGAGCTATTTTAAACCTTTTCATTTGAAACATTGCTTGTGTCTTTTGATAGGTTTCCATCTTATGATTCATCTGCAAGTTTGAACTAAACAGCTCGAAACATAAATAGCTGAATTCATAAAGCCGCGCAGCCTTGTGAAAAATTGTTGCGTTGGGTGTACTGCTTCGTTTGCATTCTTATAACCAAGGCCAGAACCCTGTTAATTTTATTATACAATGCTGCCTCACCTGCAAAACTGTGTTCTCTTTAAAGCCAAACCCATCCTTCAGTAGACAAGTGATGTAAGTCATGTCCATACACAGGAAAGGGTGGATGGGAGGGTACTTGGTCATCTTATTGCACACTAAGCAGAGAAAAGGATAAATAAGGGCTGTTAGGTGTTAGGAATAATCAGTCATCTGTATTCTGCTGTGGATGAGGGCAAGATTTCAGATAGAAATGAGCTCCATTGAGATGCACACTGTGTCTCAAGTACAGGGAGCTGCAGATCTGTCATAGTAATGATGCATTTCTTCGCCCATCTCACCCTCCTTGGCTCTCTTCTTGAAGTCTCTGACCTCCAGCATCCCTCCGTGGACCTCATCTGCAACGGAGGTGACTGAGGTCATCTTACTCACATTTAAAAATGCTACACCATTCATTACAAGAACAGGTCTACATGTACATTTCCATAATACTAGTAATAGAGCTTGTGGCCTTTCAGCTTGGACTGGCAGAGAATAGCAATTTCTTTAATACCTACACACCTATAGCTCATCAAATCCCCTGAGACAGGTGCAAGTGACTCACATTTCCCTGCCTATGTCTAGTGCTGGAATGGGTAATGACACCCTACTGGGTCTGTATAATTATATAAGGTGTGTACAAGGGGGTGTGTGTGTGTTCACTAACCGATAAGGCCCGCATCCACAGCTCTGTCAAAGTAATAGGAGAATGCATAAAAAACATTGGAGTCTTCAAGCTCGTACGGCTGATGAATAATCCCCTTCACCACCTTAAGTACTTCCTGATAACAAAGCTTGTATCCTGTGTAACCTGGAGGGGAAAGAAAAACAGAGACGGCAGAATAAAGTCAGCATCTTATGTTCATTCAAGTAATCCAAGTATGCCCTCATATTTTTGCTCATATTGCTGCTAATATTTACATTTCGTATCATGCATTTTGCTTGCATCTGGTAACAGATAAGATCTTTTGTAAAACCCAAGAAAAAAAAAAAATCAATGGACATTTTTTGAGTTCTTCCTTGCAAACCTTAGCTTTGGGTTTCATCTGCTTACAGCTTGTTATAAGTAAATGGGATCATACCATCTGGGTCCCCGCTCACTTGATAGGTTAGACCTCCAAAGCTCCATTCATCCCTGAACTTCTTTGGCAGACAGGAACTTTTAAAAACCTGCCACTCCAACCCTGTGACAGCGCAGACACCACTTGTTTAAACTCGTGACTGGTTCAACAGCTTCACACAAGGTTACCGTGGTCATAGAATGACTCAAAAAAAACTCAGGCAGTCACTAACACAATTTTCTCTGAAGCACTTCAGTGATTCATCTCAGTGTATCTCAGGGCCAGAATCATTTATAACAGAAAACTACATCTCACAAAAATATCTTTCTTTACTTTTCCTTCTCGAGATTTGGAAAATCTAAAAAAGAAACCACCTTCTTCTCAGTATCCATCAGTGACGTGCAATGATGACACTGACATGAATAATGGCAAAGAAACACATTTAGTTCATGTACAGCACAGTACCTTCTGCACCCAGAGCTCCCAGTGTGGCCAACCGTGCCGCCATCAGTCCATTTCCAAGATAGCTGCATGAAGTTGAAGAATTGTTACACACTTAGAAAACCAAGCAGAAACAGACTGTGCACGTGACAAATAAGTCATCCTCAAAAGAAGGCAAACAAGTGGTGTTTGCCTATAATACACATCCTAATGACTAAACAGATACTAGATGTTTTCCTAATTAAACACAGATCCGAGTGAAGTCACAGAGTCAGTGTCAGAACTTGAGGCTAATTTTAAATGTGAAAAAGGAAAATATGGAAATGATCTTGATGTGAAATCAAGAAGCAATTTCTTATTCATTCACACTGAATTAAAATGGACTGTATTATGTCTCGTGAAGCATACAGTCGTTTCTGAAACAGTTACCTATGAGTGTACAATTCAAATGTTGCGTTTAAGACATCAAACTTAGCAGTGTAGTCAGCAGCAGGAGCACTTTCAGTGGTTTTCTACAGTGGAATACAGAGAGCACAGAGGGTTACTATCACCAAAGGTTAGAGATCAGACAGATTTCTCTCAAGTGTTCAAACAACTGACCCTCAGTTTGGGCAGGAAAGTGATTTGCGTTGATCCTCCTCCCAGATCCAATATTCCCACTGTCTTCTTGCTTCGCGCTTTCAGGTGACCTAAAAAAAAAAAGTCACACTTTAATCCAGAAACCACAACACAAAGGACCGAATCAGTTACACCTGCGATGTTATCTTCAAAAGGCCTATTTGGCAAACATGTACAAGCCAAAGTATAAAATCGCTGGATCCTATCTGATAAAGATCAGAGCACTCCTGTAGGCAGGAAATTCATAGTCGGACACATTTAGCCTCTATTTGTGAACATGAGGTGTGATAACGCGACGGCACCTTTAGATACAAAGTTAAACCTGGATATAAAGTATGAAAAAGAGGTACAAATATTTTACTGTTTAATGCAGTGTACTTGCCTGTTAGAAAGTTCAGCGATATCCAAGCCAGGAGTCCTACATTTACAAAATTAGCACAAAAGAAAAGCAAGAAAACAGAAACCTGTCATTTCAGGTGAAAACAAAGACCATTTAAGAAACTAATTTTGCATATATAAAAGGCATGTAGTCCTATAAACGAGGCTGAAACGCTGACTAATCAATTACACAACGGCACAACAGACAATAGTATTTTTGCACCGCATAATTACCGACTCATCTTTGTGGTAATATGCCATTTCGTTTTCTTAAGTGTCATCACAAAACACTGCTGTAATCTTCAGCAATTTAGGTTCATGCCTGCAGT